ACTATGCATAGACTCGTTACTCCAGCCAAAAAGTAACTCCATAATACCAGCCTAGTTCGGCAAGGGTGGGAGCTGGACTCTAATACTCAGTTAACTCCCTTGCCTCAGAAAGATGATATTGCTCTAGGTTTGGTGGAAACTTTAATACATGACTGGTACAAGCATAAAACTTCCAAATGTCATGTTTGTCATCATCAAAACACCTCATGGTTAATATTGTTGCAAACATTTGGTGATAACTTTTTATAACTAAAGGATGTCATGTTGTAAACATTCATATCTCATTAAGAATCTTACATTTAAATGTTATTTTAAAGCAAGATTTCACGATTGTATATTTGGTTGGGTAAGTTATGAAAAGCAAATTCATCCATCAAAATGTGACAATGTGTAACATTAAAGATGCATGATTTCAAATACTGGTATTGACATTTGACACTTGTATATAATCATTATAAGAATCAATCAGACATAATTTAGTAAATGACTTCCTGGTATTTGATAGAGTTACATCCACCAATATTCCCCAAAACACATACATTATATATCTTACAATAGTAAATCGATCACAATCTTTTTCAAAAATACCAACAAGAAATATATCTCATGATATATCTCGTGCCTTCAACACAGATTACACTTTGACATACACTTCCCATATTAACTTACAATGAAATTTAATTACCTGCAGCAAAACAAAAAACATACTTTCTCTTCATCAAATCCCCTGCCAAAACAAAAAATAGCCCTGAAAGTCCCCCCTCCCAATATGTCTCCGCCTATGCCACTCTTATGATTGCAGAGCTCTTGTATCGGTGAGCCGCCTGAGGCTGAGCGATCTTCTTCATCTTGGGCGTGTGAGCCTCCATGTCCCGGATGTTGGCCTCCCGCTCCTGCTCCTGGTTGCGATGCAGGATCTGGTTGATGCAGTACTCGGACTCCTGGCCACACTCGGTCAGTCTCAGGTCCATCTGGGTGATGGTGGTGTTCTCCTCCGTCCCCTCCTGCAGCTGCTTGCCTCCGTCCTGCAAACATACCCACCATTAGCAGGATGCCAGTCATGTCAAACATACACACCATTAACAGGGCGCCAACCATGTCAAACATACACACCATTAGCAGGATGCCAACCATGTCAAACATACCCACCATTAGCAGGCCCCAACCATGTCAAACATACCCACCATTAGCAGGCCCCAACCATGTCAAACATACCCACCATTAGCAGGCCCCAACCATGTCAAACATACATACCATTAGCAGGATGCCAACCATGTCTAACATACCCACCATTAGTTGGCCTCAACCATGTCAAACATACCCACCATTAGCAGGATGCCAGTCATGTCAAACATACACACCATTAGCAGGATGCCAGTCATGTCAAACATACACACCATTAACAGGGCGCCAACCATGTCAAACATACACACCATTAGCAGGGCGCCAGCCATGTCAAACATACACACCATTAGCAAGGCGCAAACCATGTCAAACATAAACACCATTAGCAGGGCGCCAACCATGTCAAACATACACACCCGTTAGAGGGTGCCAACCATGTCAAACATACACACCCGTTAGAGGGCGCCAACCATGTGAAACATACACACCCGTTAGAGGGTGCCAACCATGTCAAACATACACACAAGGCGCCAAACCTGTGACACGTAAACACCATTAGCAGGGCGCCAACCATGTCAAACATACACACAATTAGCAGGGCGCCAACCATGTCAAACATACACACCCGTTAGAGGGCGCCAACCATGTCAAACATACACACAAGGCGCCAAACCTGTGACACGTAAACACCATTAGCAGGGCGCCAACCATGTCAAACATACACACAATTAGCAGGGCGCCAACCATGTCAAACATACACACCCGTTAGAGGGCGCCAACCATGTCAAACATACACACAAGGCGCCAAACCTGTGACACGTAAACACCATTAGCAGGGCGCCAACCATGTCAAACATACACACCATTAGCAGGGCGCCAACCATGTCAAACATACACACCATCAACAGGGCGCCAACCATGTGAAACATACACACCATTAGCAGGGCGCAAACCATGTGAAACATACAAACCATTAGAAGGGTGCCAACCTTGTCAAACAAACACACCATAAGAGGGCGCCAACCATGTCAAACATACACACAGGGCGCCAACCATGTCAAACATACACGCCCATTAGAGGGCGCCAACCATGTCAAACATACACACCATCAGCAGGGCGCCAAACCTGTGACACGTAAACACCATTAGCAGGGCACCAACCATGTCGAACATCCACATCATTAGCAGGGCACCAACCATGGCGAACATCCACATCATTAGCAGGGCGTCAACCCTTTGAAACATACACATCATTAGCAGGGTGCCAGCCCTGTCAAACATACACACAGGGCGCCAACCGTGGCAAACATACACACAGGGCGCTAACCATGTTATTTTGGGAGAATTGTTACAATATTTGGAACCTTAGTTCTGCAATTAATATGAAATGAAAAATATTTTTAAAATTCCCAAAAATTGTGCCTGTAATCAATAGTAGATATTAACCTCACTGCAGTCATTGTCACATTATTGATGCCTAATATTTATTTACGGTAAAGAAACACTCTCGGCTGATTATCTCTATCAAAAGGCTCGTGAAAGGTAGGAGGCTTTTGGCCTTGCTGGTAATTCAAGTTCACCACTCTGATACTTTGTGATGTCTTACAATTAACATCGGATAAATATTTGCCCCGGTACAAGTTAACACTTGATAAAAGGAAGGCGAATGTTCATTCACCAGGTCTAGTAAATGTCAATTCTACCATGTTTGTGGAAATTATTAATACTCAATACTGATTGGTGAATCAGAGGTTTCAAATTACAATAATAACATCTGATTTAAACAGTTGGTGTGATTGCAGAATTAGCATCGGGATCATCTTTACAGGAAAGTACTTTGTATTTGGTTTCAAATTTAATTTAGCGGTATCAAATCTACAGCAAATATAGCTCTACCTTGAAAACATGATATAATCATAGTTTTGTTCTGATTTGAGCCAGTATCAAAGATCTTTAATCAGTCAAAGCAATAATGTTGCATGGATGTGAACAAAACTTAAAAGGTTCAGAAACATAGCCTGACTTCAGTTCAGCAATACATTTTTCTTCAATAATTCATAATTACTGTAAATTATCCTGATTATCCCCAAAAGCTCATGACCATTCCGTTATTCAGGACAGAGAAACCATAATTCCTCGCGGTTAGCTGCATACTCTCTAATCATGCACTTTCTGTGTTCAAATGGCAACAATAATAATGCTCCAACTTGCAGTCGTCTAGCCACCGCCGATACACGTAGCCCTCGTATTCACCACATGCCAATCAGTCGATATTATATCCACAGTAAGCACACTTTGAATCCGCCAAGAAACAGCCCACCCATATTTCAAAGTTGGAGTGTGTTTGCCCTTTAACTAGATTACAACTGCATAAAACACTACCGAGAAGACATGAATTATCTCCCTTGATAACAACCACAATGTTGGAATGGAATTTATGTACCAGTGCAGAGGTGCTACAAGGTGGTGCTACAGGGTGGTGCATTGTGCTATAAGGTGGTGCTACAGGGTGGTGTATGGTGCTATAAGGTGGTGCTACAGGGTGGTGCATGGTGCTATAAGGTGGTGCTACAGGGTGGTGCATGGTGCTACGGGTTGGTGCTACAGGGAGGTGCTACAAGGTGGTGCTACAATGAGGTGCTACAAGGTGGTGCTACAGGGAGGTCCATGGTGCTACAGGTTGGTGCTACAGGGTGGTGCTACAAGGTGGTGCTACAGGGAGATGCATGGTGCTACAGGTTGGTGCTACAGGGAGGTGCTACAATGAGGTGCTACAAGGTGGTGCTACAAGGTGGTGCTACAGGGTTGTGCATGGTGCTACAGGTTGGTGCTACAGGGAGGTGCTACAATGAGGTGCTACAAGGTTGTGCTACAAGGTGGTGCAACAGGGAGGTGCATGGTGCTACAGGTTGGTGCTACAGGGTGGTGCTACAAGGTGGTGCTGCAGGGAGGTGCATGGTGCTACAGGTTGGTGCTACAGGGTGGTGCTACAAGGTGGTGCTACAGAGTGGTGCATGGTGCTATAAGGTGGTGCTACAGGGTGGTGCATGGTGCTACAGGTTGGTGCTACAGGGAGGTGCTACAAGGTGGTGCTACAATGAGGTGCTACAAGGTGGTGCTACAGGGTGGTGCATGGTACTCCAGGGTGGCTGTGGTGCAACAGGGTGGTGCTACAAGGTGGTGGTACAGAGTGGTGCTACAAGGTGGTGCTACAAGGAGGTGCTACAGGGTGGTGCTACAGGGTGGTGCATGGTGCTACAAGGTGGTGCTACAAGCTGGTGTTACAAGGTGGTGCTACAGGGTGGTGCTACAGGGTGGTGCTACAGGGTGGTGCATGGTACTTCAAGGTGGCTGTGGTGCAACAGGGTGGTGCTACAAGGTGGTGCATGCTGCTACAGGGTGGTGCTACAAGGTGGTGCACTGTACGCCAACAATTGTTTAACTCGAATGCGGCAGGCGACTCTCTTGGTGTTATACACGATTTCCCAGAGATGAGATAAAGGTGCTGATATAGCGTCCCATATTTTCACCTCAAGCCATCCCGTATTCATGCTATTTGTGCAAGTGACGCAAACACAATGTCTCGGTTCTTATGTCAGCAATATTCCAGCCACAGCACAACAGTCTGTGAACATACATGTATGAGCCTGGAGCAAACAAACTTGTGATTGATATTGACCCGAATTCATCACTAATTTGAACACTCCCACCTATCACAACCGACACGACCACTCACCACACCCCACGATACATACACGCACAGCCTGTCCCACGACACCCACCCACCCGCTGATATGTGACCCGCCCCCCACCCCCCACCCCCATCACACACACACACACACACCCCTCTAAAGAAATGGATCCGTCTCTGGGAGTTAGGTAAGCGTTGTAAGGCTTGACCCCCGTTTGAACTCGATATCGCGCGCAAAGCAACCTGGTCGCGTTTCATGGCCTGGCGTTCACTTGACACATTCGACACACTCCGAGCAGGGCCATCGCAGAGACAGGACAGTGCATCGTGACGAAACACTGTAAGTACTGTATATTGCGTAGTTGTCTTGGTGTGCATTGTCGTCAGAGCAGTATTTCGCAGGAATCTATGGTCCTGATTTAATTAATGACATTGTATGCATATTGTTACTGTCAAACACACGTCCTTGTTGCGTAAACATGAACTTATATTATCAAAATCGGACCGCCATATCCCAGTAATATATTTGACATTCAAGTGTGCTATGAGACCAGTCTTACTATGTTCAATCACTGAAGATTAAGCTTAAAACTGTCCTCGAGAGATGTTGAGAGAAATTTGACACTAAATGTTTTGAGGTGGCTTTTATTTATTGTGGTATGTGTAAATGTTGTAGATACTTATAAAACTAGAACAGTTTGTTCATAGTCAGTGGAAAGATGGGCTCTGATTGAATAGTGCTGTGCACTATGTTGGGGGGCTGGGGGCTGGACTAGAAATCATCTGAATTTTCGTCGACACATTCTTGCCAGATATCAAACGTGACAGATTTAGGGATTGATTTGTACCGATATGAGGCGGGATCACTGTGACTAGAAGAGCGCTACTGCATGTTGTCCATGGAATGTTGACTTGACAGTACGACCGAGGCAAAATATTGGCGCCAATAGTTGTGCTACCTGCTGCTTGCGCGCCATGCTTGTCCACGTTTTGTCTTTCAAAACAATAACACTCTTTCCCACCACGCACGTATTGTAATGGACTACCTCCAGCAGAAAAGCATCACCAGATTGCAATATCCAGCTTTGAGTCCTGACCTTTCTCCCATAGAGCACGTCTAGTACATGATCGGGAGACGTGATAGTGTCCCCTTCTTTTAGGGAAGTATATTAACATGATAATGGCAGATATTTACCGAGTATCTGAATTTGGCGGAGCTAGAATGATATCACATATCATAACGTTATACTTTTCCATTACTACTCGTCTCAAGTTTTACTTATACCTTCTTATTTTATTTCTCCTTTTACAGGATTCAACATGGATTCCTCATCTTCCCCAGTTCAACTGATGTCAACATTTTTGAAGTCAACAGAAATGCAGGTTGGCATGGTAACCTTTATGGCGTCATTGCTAGCAATGAAAGTGGTGAAACAGTTTACCTCTGACCTGAAACCCCCTCCTCCTGGTCCCTGGGGGTTCCCTATTATTGGACACCTCCCGCTACTGGGAAACGAACCCTACGTGACCTTCATGAAGATGAAGGAAAGGTTCGGAAACATCTTCCAGATCCAGTTGGGTAGTTGGTCGGCCGTGGTTATAAATGGCAAGCAGGCCATTAAGGAAGCTCTACATAAGTCTTGCGAGGACTTCTCAGGTAGACCCCAGTTCTTGTCAGCACAGATTATCAGCAACGGTGAAAGTATTGGCTTTGGTGAGTATGGCGAACACTGGAAAATTCATAGGAAAATTGGCATGAAAGTCCTGACCGAGTTCTCGAATGCCAAGTCAAATCCTATAGAAGATATGATTCACGAAGAAGTAGACATTCTCGTGGATGACTTCATGTCTGAGCAGGGAGCTACATTCAACCCTCGGGAATACATCTACCACTCCGTTGGAAGCGTCATCTACCAACTGTGCTACGGCAGACAAGAAAACATCCGGGAAGACAAGGATTTCGCTGATTTCATATTAAACTCGGCTGCATTCGCGGAATTCGTCGGTGCCGGAAACCCTGTTGATGTCATGCCCTGGCTCCGCTATCTCATGCCCTGGAAAGTGAAGGCATTTACAACACTCATCCAAACAAGTATTGACGCAAGTGAAAAGAAGATCATTGAACACAAAACAAACTTCTCTAGTGATAACATGCGTGACATCACGGACAGATTGATATCTGTAAGTGAGGAAGACTCTAAGCTGTCCAAGGAAAGGGTTTTGTCTACGCTTAACGACCTCTTTGGGGCAGGTTTTGAGACAATTGCTTCAACCACCAGGTGGATGTTACTGCTGATGGCCGCCAATCCAAAAGTGCAGAGGCGGGTGCAGGAAGAATTGGACGACGTTGTGGGCAGCGGGAGACGACCCAGTATCTTGGATAGAGGTCAGCTGGTTTACACCGCCGCAGTGCTTCATGAGATCAACCGGTTTGTGGCACTGGCACCTCTCAGTCTCCCTCACCTCACTACCACCGATACCAATCTCGGGGGATACAGTATCAACAAAAACACTGTTATCTTCATCAACCTGTACTCCATGAGCCATGACCCAGAAGTATGGGGTGATCCGCATGTCTTCCGACCCGAGCGTTTCCTTGACGCTTCCGGTCAGATCAACAAATCCCTCCTGGAGGAGTTCCTTCCCTTCTCCACTGGTCGGCGGAAGTGTCTTGGGGAGTCTCTGGCCAGGAACGAAATGTTTCTTTTGTTCACTGGAATCCTACAGAAGTGCAGCATCTTGCAACCACCAGAAGTGAAGGAATATAGCATGGACGCCAACAATGGATTAACACGGCAACCTCTGCCCTACGAAGTACAGGTCAAGCTCAGGACCTGACTCGCCACTGACCCAGCGTTCTTCTCATGGACAACAACCTGACAAAATTCATGAACTGGGCAATGAACTGACCCATGGGGTCCAATAATAATCTGCTGTATGAAGAGGGGCACAGGGCACAAACCTTAAAACCATAAAGAAATTTTGAATGGTGGAAACTAGATTTTTATAGTCAGTTAACTCACTTGCCTCGGGAAGATGACTCCAACCAGGAATCCACAGGAGTCGAGGTATACACAAGGAACTGCAAAAGAGTACAGCTACTCTGAAGACATGGAATCAGTTTGAAATCTGCTCTTAGTCATATATGCAGGAGTTGTCTCTTTTCAATACCATGATGTTGCGGTTCTACATGCACAGCTACACCCACAATGCGTCGGCTTAACAGATATACATGTATATTTGAACTGTTGCTGAAATTCTTACCAATTATATTTGTCCTTGGAGACAAAAAGTGGTTGGTGTCAACATCAATCAAAGAACCGAAATACTCATATTGATTGTAATCGAGAAATACTTGTGTTTTATGTGACAAATGATTATATATAAATTCTTAATCTTTTAGTTCGTTTGTTTGTTTGTCCTTTGACGCCGCACAATATTTCAGCTATATGAAGGCAGCTTTTATATAATCGAGTCTCCACCAGACAACCAGCTTTTTGGTATCATTTTCATCCTTGATGTGGCATTCAGTAGGTATACCACAATGTACATCAGAATGTTGGAATATTGTTAACGTGCATAGTGGCCCCTGGATGCTGGATGCAGAGGCACAACATCTCTTTACTATTGTTCATTCAAGGTGAATGACTGTAGCAGCGTCATCCAGCGAAACAACCTGTTTCGGTATCTTCTGTTGCACTCTCTAAGACTTCACGCTGTGACATAAGTGAAGTACGTTTGAAAGCGTCGCTGGTTAGCTGTTGAGTTCCTGGCCATGTTGTACAATTGGTGTACCTCTTGTGGCTGCACTAACCAGTCTCTTCTCCACGGCAGTTGTTGGTCATGTCCAAAGGCATACGTTTTCCACCGGATGGTAGCTCAGGATGAAGATGGAAGACAAAACTCTTGGGTGGAGTTTTCAGACGACAACAGTCATTGATGATGGGATGAAATAAGTCGAAAGGGTACATGTTGATAATAACGTCACAGAACGCACTCCAGGTCCGATTGGCCAATGTTCCCGGTGGAGAGACCCGCTCTGTCACTTACATGAAGACAGGAAGTCTGACGTCGATTCTTTGATGTCGACGGCCTTGACTAGCTCACAATCCGTCTGCTTCTGTCGATGATCTGGACTTGTCTCCTGATTGATGTTGTTGTTGTTGCTTTAAGTGTTTAAGAGGTCGCCTTCTGCCTCAGCAATATCGGCTGACCTGGCCCTCTTTGGGGCTCATGTTTGTGAGAACCCATATCTATTGCAGGATTTAATATCAACATAATTTAAGTTTTTGTATTGATATGATTTCATTTTTTCTTTGGATGCTGTGTTTACATGCGTTCCAATAGCTTTCGATCTCTTAGAAATAGTGTTAGTTTTGCCTTCGCTATTGCAACTCTTGGCTTTAGGAGATATACGACAGATAGCGGATCTTACTGCAATTCTTGTTTTGAACCCAGCCTGGGCTGGGGCGTGGTCTTGACATTCCAGTAGCAAGTGAGCAATGGAATCAGGTTGATTGCAAGATGGACATAAGGCGTGAGATGGCTATTATAACTTTCCTTTCATTTGAGTAAGAGTATGGCTTTTGGTGAATCTTGGGTTGAATCTTGTATCGTACTTTTGTCCCACTTGGCTTGCCATCTTTGGGCTATGGAAGCTGTCTTTGCTCTCGGTAGTTCCGGTATGATTTTAAGTGCATTATGAACTGACTCCAATTCAGCAGTAAATACTAACTGACCATCAGGCAGGCGAACCGAATGTGCTTGGGGATTGGAGCTGTGGATATGAATCCCATGACCATCACTGTTGTTGATTTTTGGATCCATCAGTGTATATATGGGCCCAGCTGTCCCAGGTAGTGTGAATTTTAGTGACAGCTATTGATCGTTGTAGGGCTGTTTTTTCTTTATTTGTAGTGACTTCTGATGTTAAAGCAGTTTCAACCTTGGGGAGTTTGTGAAGTCAAAGGAGGGTGTAACTCTTTTTAGTGACCTTGTGGTTTGATGTCATCACAATTGTGACTTCATCCGAAGTCACATACTATTATCCCAGATGCCTATAGTGAGGGATTTTCTTCCGAGCTAGGGCTTCATCTCAAGTTTTTTTGTCTTTATATCTTTTTCATCACAGGTTTTTTCAACCTGGTGAGTTAATTAGATTTGGATTCAGATTGCTGAGGAGGTGTTTTATTTATGCATTTGTTGACCAAGCGTTTTGGACATTTCGGCGCCAAGGATGAATTACCCTTTTTTTTTGCAGTCACTACACGTAGTGTTGCAGTTTTCTTTGCAAGAAACTCGGGAGCAGTCGTTGTACTAGGGTGGCTGGTCGCATGATTTTTTTGGTATGTCCATAGAGCATATAGTTTGTGAATTGGATTGGCCTTTTTCTGTATGGCATAGTTTCTATGTCCTTACCACCTAGATTAAGGTGGTCGGGTACATCTGACTTTACTAAGCCAGTTTCGGGTATCCCAATTTAGTTTGATTTTGTTAATGCTTTTGGGCATGTCAATTGATTCTGTGAGATTGTCCCCGACGAACAACGTAGCCCCCTCCACACTTATATATGCTAATGGTATTGTTATGCCTCATCTCTTTGGCAATATCTTGAGCTGTTAGAATCTTATTACGATCTTGTGAAAAGTCTGCGCTAATTCATATAAAGACTACATTTTCCCATTTGGTTTGTGGCCTTCTGTTCTGTTGTGTCTTTGAGTCTGATAAGACCATTCTTTGTCTTTTATGTTCGATTTTAGCCTTGGGTGAGCTGGATTGAGGTTGTTATCGTTTAAGCATGCCTTAAGGCACTATAATCGATTTTTCTTTGTTTTTAGTTCCGGAGAACCATTTATATATTTGTGTGTGACTTGTGTATTCACATCATAATATTTGCAACAGTAGGTACAATTAATCTAAATGTATTATTTTATGTACAGTTTACTCTTATTAATTGTTAAATGTCCTTTGTAGGGAGAGGTGTTTAAATAGCTTTAACCTGTTCACCATTGTTTTTGGAAATAAATATTGTTTAAATCAGTTCCGGAAGACGTGAATCTGTCCTAAAACGGCCAGGGACATTTCGTGTGGCTTGACTATAAGTCATGTTTGACCATAGTTAAGGGATTCCCTTTAGTTGGGTTGGGCTGACCATTTCGAGAACTGGGCCCACTTGCACAAATCGTATGGGAGTTACGATCATCTCAGCGCAAAATCGCTTTGTGCAAGTGGGCCAAGGTCTGGTTCTCTTGAGAGTTGGGCGGATTCTCAACATTTGTAATTCTGAACATAAGTCATATTTGTCAGTCCCATGGGCCTGGGTGATTTACGACCGTGCAATTTAAGCTGGTGAGCGAACCGAGCTTGGCGGGCGCGGAGGGTAGTGTACAGTACGGGACCTTTGACACAACGATCGTGTCAGTCACGTTTTGTAGATAGGCGAATTACGTAGCGTGGTGCAAGGTCAGTGACCCACGTACGTGTACATACGTTACATCCGGCGACGTAAGGGGTTGTAAGCTGACATTTAAAGATAGCGCTGGGCATTAAGGGTCCTGCCCGGAAAAGGGGACTTATGTTTAGAGGGGATACGCCGAATGGTTGCTGTATACAAAGAGGATAGAATTTCGGTGCATTTTGAAACATATTGAAACAATAAGGTATTTTGGATAAACGAATTTTTAAAAAAAATATTGAAAAGGTTTGCACCATAACAGTCAGTACTCGATTATCGGCGCCATAATGTCTGCGCGAAAGACGCCATAATAAACAAAACTCATATGGTGAGGCTGGGAGGAAAAGGGTTAACCATTGACGTCAAGATCGTTGCACTATAATTACGACATGAATGCACAGTATCAACAGGCAGGGTAACAACAAGTACCATCTCTTAACGTCTTTTGATAGAACGCGGCTTGGGATCGAACAGATCCGACCTCCGCTCACTAGGCAGACGTTGTATCTACGAGACCACGGAAACGGCCTATTACACCAAACGGCTTAATCAAACAACGTTTATTTTCAGTTGAAACATGATTTCGCGCCCCACTGAGTGCATTTTACATCATAATGTTAACCAGCAAAATGAGAATGGCTAGACTAAAACACATACTTGAATGAGTTGCGTCCCTTTGCTGGCCGGATCCGCTAAGAATAGATAAGAATAGAGAGAGATGGTTCATCGGTCATCGGTCTCTGGTGTTAAGAATTCAAACTTTGAAACCCTTCTTTTACGGCATCCTGGATCCACCTTTGTTTTAGAAAAGGTTACCATCAAAACAGGTTGCGTTATCTGTTAAACGTTTTTCCACATAAGAAAGTATAGTTTGTGTATTTTCTTTCACCTTCATGTTGTTTAGTTCCAACTCGTTTCCAAATCCAATCATCCCGGGACGGGACGTTGGTGTAGCCTAGTGGTTAAAGTGTTCGCTCGTCACGACGAAGACCCTGGTTCGATTCCCCACATGGATATAATGTGTGAAGCCTTCTTCAGGTGTTCCCTGCCATGACATTACTAGAATATTATGAAAAGCGGCGTAGAACCAAACTCACTCATTCACCCACTCAGGTATTTTGGACAAAAAACATCATAACGACAGGTACTTACGGCTTGAAATCCCTATTTTACTCACCATTATTACATTATTATTATATTGGAACTGTACACCAACAACAATGGTTTAACGCACTCTCTCTTGAAGTATATGGATACACGATTCCCCAGAGATGAGATGAAGATGTAACGTCCCATATTTTCACCTACAGCCACCCCGTCCCAGTTATGCTATTGATGTTCACCACGTGTGACGTCACATGCAGAGGATTGTCAGATTGTCTTACGTCACCTCCGTAACCGATTTTTGACGGTACATCAACCAGAAATGAACTGTTTAGGGATAGACTGAGTGCGCAAACTGTTCGAAACCGTCTGAGAACTGCTCACCTTCAAGCACGACGGCCATACTGCGGGCCGACTCTGACTCAATTACACAGACGTCAACGTCAATTGTGGGCACAGCGACACTTACGATGGAATCAAGTCGTCTTCAGTGATGAATCCCGATTTAATCTTCGATTTGCTGATGGAATTGCGAGGGTGTGGAGGCGCCGTCATGAACGTTACGCCCAGTGTTGTGTACAGGAAGTTGACAGATTTCGAGGCGGAAGTGTCATGGTGTGGGGTGCTTTCTGTGGCAATGCACGTTCCAGGCTTCTTGTCATCCGTGGCAACCTCAACGCTGCTGCCTATCGCGACCAGGTACTGGCAGCACATGGACCCGGTTTGATCTTCCAACACGACAATGCCAGACCCCACACAGCAATTTTGACAAGGAATGTCCTTCAGAATGCGGGAGTCAACGTCATGGACTGGCCGTCAAGCTCTCCCGACC